GGGGGGGGGGGGGGGGGGGGGGGGGGGGGGGGGGGGGGGGGGGGGGGGGGGGGGGGATGGGGCACCCTGTTTGAAGGACCCGACTCTTCACCAGAGGAGCCCCTTGTTCCGAACTCCCGAGCCTGCAACAAGGTTCGCATCAGTGCATGTGTAGGCATCCATACACACATTTGTTTATGGACGCGCATATGTATACACATATGTATATACAGATACATAGACATACACACAGACATAGACATAGACATAGACATAGACATAGACATAGACATAGACATAGACATAGACATAGACATAGACATAGACATAGACATAGACATAGACACTGACACAGACATAGACATAAAAATAGACGCAGACACACACACACATATACACAAATATACACAAACATACACACACATACACATACACATACACATACACATACATATACATATACATATACATATTCGTAGACATATACATATACATCTACATATACATATACATATGCATATACAATATACAATATACACATACATATACATATACATACACATATACATATGCATGTACATATACATATACATATCCATATATGTGTATATATACATATATGGACTTGTGTGTGTGTGTGTGTGTTCATTTTGCCATATGCATATGTATATGTTTTTGTGTATGTATATGCTATTTGTAGAAGTATGTATACATACATATGATCTGTACTTGTCCACGTCGATGGATAGATATGTACGTGGGTGGAGAGGTGGGAGCTGCAGGTGTTTCAAGTGGGAAACGAGAGCCTTTGCCCGCGGCAGCGCTCCTGCAATGTAGCAGGACTTCACCTTTACCCCCGGGAGGGGGTAAAACTTTGAAGGTGTTTCCGCCCCGCTCCGAGCGACCCGCTTTTTGGACAAAAGACTCTTAACTAAATCCTAATGGCCCTGTTTAGGATTTCCCACTTAAACCCTAAACCCTAAAACCTACAGAGTCGCCAATAATCCGGAGACCATACAATCACAATCCTAAGACACTCTTCTATACCGTGCTCCCTAATCCCCAAACCCTAAAGCCTCGAAGCCCCAACAATGGTGGTTGGTGAGGGCTTAGGGTTTCGCGCTTGGCTTCTACTAGCCCAGTTTGCGCCCAGGGGTCTAAAGTTTTAGGGTTTCAGGGTTTAGGGTTTAGGATTCAGGGTTTAGGGCTTGGGTTTAGTGATGTGTCCGGGTGCAGGCGCTCGCCACAAGGCACAGAGAATGGGAGGCAGAGCCTCTGAAAATTTCTCGGCCGGGCAGCCCCTAAACTCTGAACCCTAAACCCTAAACCGCGGATGTATGGACCATGAACCTTCATAGAATTCTTAAGGGATACAAGGAGGGATCCTAGAAGGCGCCCTTGCTCTTATTCCCTCAAACAACCCCCATAAAAAATATACACTCATATTGATATAGTCCCTATATACCGATGCCTAAGTAGGCCCTACATTACCCCTCAAGTCCCTTATTATAAGGGTGCCACCTTTAGGCCCCTTGACGTTCATTCCGCAAGAACCATTGAGTTCAAGGTACTCAGTAGTCACATCACCGTACAGTTTGGGGGGGGATTCTGTACGTCTCAGAGGCACTAAGGGTTTAGGGCTTAGGGTTTTGGGGTTTGGGGTTGAAACCTAAACCCTAACCCCCCCCCCCCCCCCAAGAAAAAACAAGATGCCCAAAAACCTTACCTCAGTGTTTGGGGCTTGCGGGCTTGGCAGTTGAGCAATGGTGCAGGGTCTGAGTGCATCGGGCTTCAGGGTTTAGGAGAGCACCACCGCAAAGTGCAAACCAGGAGCCTAAAGAAACTGACAAGCAATATTCCCGCAGAAGCCTCTCTATCCTCTATGAACGCGTGCGTGCGTGCGTGCGTGCGTGCGTGCGTGCGTGCGTGCGTGCGTGCGTGCGTGCGTGCGTGTGTGTGTGTGTGTGAGAAAACAACTTGCCCAAGACCCATTCTGATTTCTACATCAAAGGGCACTCAAAGCCCTCCGTGGATGCCCTCGTCATACTCTTACTCCCTTCTTTAGTGTATCCCGAACAAACCCAAACAAACCTTGCGTGCCCTGTTCTCCGCTTATGCTCCCTACATTGCGAGAGTACTTAAGACTGGCCAGTCTTCATTCTACTATACTCCCCTTAGAACCTTAATAAAAATGAGGTGTTATACGAACAAGAAACAATTCCCAAGGGGGATATAGTCTACTTAAGGCGGACCCCGATGTTACAGCAACATGCCCTTCCGAGAGTGCTGTCTTGGCCATCTTTCGCGTGGGCATGCGCCCTTTCAGAAAGATGGGCGCCTCACCTCAGTTTAGGGTTTTGGGTTTAGGGTTTAGGGTTTAGTCGAAATAATTAAGTAGTATTCCCTTGTGGTCCCTTTGTACTTATACTAGAATAACCGCCAAAACGCCATTCTAACTACTAACGCCCCTATAGTAGGGCTTGGGTGTAGGGCTTTGGTTGTAGGGTGGGGAGCTGAAGATCGTCGGCTTTAGTTTTGCCGGGTGCTGGCAACCTCTGAACCCTCTAGCCATCTTTAAAGTTGTCGAAGCCCCACACCCAAACACTCCCAAAATCCCGGTTTAGGGTTTAGGGTTTAGGGTTTAGGGTTTAGGGTTTAGGGTTTAGGGTTTAGGGTTTAGGGTTTAGGGTTTAGGGTTTAGGGTTCCTAAACCCTGACACTCTAACGTACATCTGGATCTTCATCTGGTGGACTCGCGTACTTCCTTCTGGACTCTACAGACCGAAAGTACAAAGTGCGACTGGCCCGGCCCATGTACGCAAAAGGGCCGATGATAGTTTAAAAACTAAGGCGTAAACCGTAAACCCCAAACCCTCAGCCCAAAAATCCCTAAAACTGACCTGCAGTCGGGTAGCATGGTCTCCTCAATCAGGCCCTGGCCGATGGTGCGGCCGCCCTGCCAAGGGCAACGTACCACTCATGTAGGGGGGTTTCCCACAATGACAGTAAGGGTTTAGGGTTTAGGGTTTAGGGTTCAGGGGTTAGGGTTTAGGGTCTAGGGTTTAATAAATTAGGCTTCTGCACTACCCTAAGGCTCAAAGAACTCTCAGTAAGTGTTTTTGGGCCCAACGGCCTTATTATATAACTAGGACGCTCAGTAACCCAGGTTAAAAAAGGGCACCCTTTTTTGCTTAAAGAGGTTTATAAGGGAACCTAACCCCCCCCCCCCCCCCAAAAAAAAGGGAATAAGGGCACCACTGGGCATCCTAGATAAGGTTCTTGGGCCATTTTGTGTCCAAGGGTGAACCGTTCTACCATGTGCTTAAGAACCCCCAGCGTGTTCTTCCTTCTCAGGGTAACGTAGATTTTCCTGTATTTTTCAGGGCTGACTACCGTTTTGTGATGAAGGATCAAAAAAACAAAGGATGCCGGCATTTTGGATGCAGATTTCAGTAGGGGTATCCCAGATTCCCTAAAATAGGATTCCTTTCGGGGCTCCAATACACATGAGGAGCCTTCTACTTAATCTTACTTCTCCAATAGCCAAGGGGCAAAAAGGTTAAACTTTATCATTCCTACTAAATAAGGAAACCAAAAAGTTTAAAGTTCAGCTGTTGGAGAAGTAAGTAATAGGGTGTCCAAGAGGAGCCAGAACTTAGAGGAATGTCCGAACCTAAGGGTCCATGTACCTTATGATTATATACTTGGGCCCCAAATACCCTGGTGTTTAGGGTTTAGGGTTTAGGGTTTAGGGTTTGGGGTTTAGGGTTTAGGAGCAAGTACTTTAAGGCCCAAGTATTCCCTGTTTAGGCACATGGACCCTTAGGGCAAACCAAGCGGCCGAGCCCTCCACACCCGGCCTCGCGCATGGCGAAGCGCATGCCCTTCTCGATGGGCGTGCCGGCGATGAGCTCGCAGGTGCCTCGGTTTAGGGTTTAGGGTTTGGGGTTTGGGGTTTAGGGTTTAGGGTTTAGGGTTTAGGGTTTGGGGTTTGGGGTTTGGGGTTTGGGGTTTAGGGTGTAGGGCAGGTGCCTCGAATTACAAAGGTACTATTAGGGGCCTTAAGAAGCAGAACAGGGTGTCGGGGGTTAGTATGGTATGATTACAAAGGGGCCATCAGGGAATACTATTAGTATTTATTCCGACCCCTACATTACCATGGTTCCTAGGTGCAGGTGATGTTGTCACCGGGCATGGCCATCTGCACGTCATCGCCGTCGCTGCTCACCATGCCCTCGATTTTGCCCGTGACGTCGCAGGTACGGAAGTAGAACACAGGCATGTAGCCAGGCATCACTGGGTTGGAGCGGCCGCCCTCGTCCTTCTTGGCGAAGTAGATGTTCGCCTTGAACTTGGTGTGGGTCTTGGTGGCACCGGGCGCGCAAATCACCTGGCCGCGGAAGACGGCATCCTTGTCGATACCACGGCACAGCACTCCCACCGTGTAGCCGGCCGGGCCCTCCGGAAGGTCGGTGTTGAACATGCGGATTCCGGTAATGACGGACTTCTGGGGCTTCTTGCCGCGGCCAAGGATCTCGACCTCATCGCCCTTCTTGACGATGCCCTGCTCGACGCGGCCCGTGCACACGGTGCCTCGGCCCGAGATGGAGAACACGTCCTCCACGGCCAGCAGGAAAGGCTTGTCTGTGTCGCGCTCCGGCGTGGGGATGTACTCGTCCACGGTCTCCATGAGCTCCAGGATCTTGTCCACCCACTTGTCATCACCTCGGTGCACAAAAACTTCCACGCGCACTGCACCTCAACTTCAACCCCTAAACCCTAGAAATACGAAACCCTAAACACTCTACACCCAAAACCCTATAGATCCTAAACCCTAAACCCTGTAAACCCTATAAATCCTAAACCCCAAAAACCCTAAACCCTAAACCTTATTCAGTATGGTTTTGGGGTACCTAATTCCACACTGTACTAGTACTACAGATGGACCCTCTGGGTGTTAATATTGCCGGCCGACTGGGGGGGGGGGGGGGGTTATATGCAGGCGCTAAGGGTCCTCAAGGTTTAGGGACAGTAGGGTTTAGGGTCTAGGGTTTAGGGTTTAGGGCATAGGGATGCAGAAGTAAGATGGCCTCAGCAAGGGGTAGATGGAGGAGGCACTGAAGCTGTCCTAGAGCTTCGTGCATTCGGCGAAGTCGACTGGGATCGATGCAGAACACGGGCGATGCCATCAACACCCGACTAGAAGCGCCCAAACCCTAGACTCCAAACCCCGCAAAGAATACCTGAACAACACCCTAATACCAGACTACCCTACACCCGCAACTAAACCCTAACCCCAAAACCCAAAACCCAAAACCCGAAACCCTAAACCCTAGACCCTGCCCTGCGTGTTGGGGCCGTGGCCCTTCTTGGTTCCCGGGTTCGACTTCATCGTCTCAAGAGCCTGGAGCGCGCTGCCTGAGCTTCGTGCATCTTTGTTCATGTCTTGTTTCTTTGTTGCAGTGGGGGGGGGAGAGGGGGGAGGCGGGGTAGGGTTTAGGGTTTAGGGTTTAGGGTTTAGGGTTTAGGGTTTAGGGTTTAGGGTTTAGGGTTTAGGGTTTAGGGTTTAGGATTTAGGGTTTAGGGTTTAGGGTTTAGGGTTTAGGGTTTATGGGAGCTTTCAGGTGCCACCTCTCCAGAACGCCTGGATCACGCTTGTAGGGTTTAGGGTTCCCGTGATTACCTAGCGGAGTTGTATAGGGTTTAGGGTTTAGGGTTTGGGGTTTAGGGGTAGTTATTGGGGCTCTTAATATGGCACTTGACCTTCCTTAAACGGGTTCTTGGGTCATAAGGGGTATATAAGGCGTCCTCATGCAAGGACCCGTATTAACGGACCAGTAACTACCCTTAGAAAAAAGGTGTATAGTACATTGGGCGGGGGGGGGGGGGGGGGGGGGGTGGTATACAAGGGGTCCCCTGCTTTGAGAAAGGACCATGAAGGGGGGCACTTCCAGAAGGTATGGAAGGTCTATGAGGCTCAAATTCGAGGGAAGCAGCCCAGCGCACATGTTCTTGAGGAATCTTCGCCAACTAAGGCCTGAACCCTACAACAGCCTCAACACCCTAAACTCGAAAACGCACTCAACTTTGGCCCTGAAACCTTTAAACCCCAAAAGCAAAAACCCGAAACCCTATACCCCAAGAACTCTAAACACCTTAGGAGGGAGGCCTTGGATGAAGGGCGTGTCGTCGCCCGGGAAGCCATACTGGCTCAACCTTGAAGACTGCCAGGTCTACGGTGAGCTGAACGGCTTTACGGCTTAGGGGATTAAAGGGATTCAGGGAATTCAAGGTTTAAGGATAAGGCAGGGGGGCTAAATAGGTAGGGATTAGGCCACCAAGTAACAGCAACAAAAGCATTCTGCGAGGCAGGAGAGCAAGCTACATGCCACCTGTCCCAAATCAAAGCAACAAAAAGCATTCTCCTTCGGCTTAGCCGTGCCTCACCACAATAAGCTGGCCTCAGCCCCAAAGCCCAAAACCGCAGACCCTGAGCACTGAGTCTCTCATCACAAAGACCAAATAGAACATCCTTCTATGCCAAACAGATATGGAGTCCATACATAGATGTAGTCTTTTCGGTGAGTTTGCCATTGCACGTCCCTCCTCTTTTTCCAGGGCACGGGCCCCTTCAACCCAAACCCTGCTATTATCACCCGAAAACTTACAACTCCATAGCCGTACCTTTAACGCTAAGGCCTAAAGCCCTTAACCCTATGATTACCGGAATCCTGTCTGCGCAGGGTAGAGGTGCGCTAGGGGGTACTTGCCATAGCTGTTCTTAGCAAGGGCTTAGGGAATTTGGTATATACTGCAAAATGTATGTACATAGTTCCCGAGAGGGTGGTTTCAATAGGATTTCTAAACCAAAAAGCCTAAACCCCAAACTCCCCCCCCCCCCCATTCGCCTAAACCCTGAACCCTAAACACCCTAAACACCCTAAACACCCTAAACACCCTAAACACCCTAAACGACCTAAACACCCTAAACACCCTAAACACCCTAAACGCCCTAAACACCCTAAACACCCTAAACACCATAAACACCCTAAACGCCCTAAACACCCTAAACAGCCTTATAACACCCTAAACACCCTAAACACCCTGCACACCCTAAACGCCCTGAACACCCTAAACACCATAAACACCCTAAACGCCCTAAACACCCTAAACAGCCTTAACACCCTAAACACCCTAAACACCCTAAACACCCTGCACACCCTAAACGCCCTGAACACCCTAAACACCCTAAACGCCCTAAACACCCTAAACACCCTAAACACCCTAAACCCTGAACCCTAAACCCTAAAAACCCTGAACCAAACCCTAAACCCTAAACCCTAAACCGGGGTCCCCTGGCATCTCGCGCGTCTCCAGCTCGACCAGCTCCAGGAGCTCCTCATCGTCCATCATGTCCACCTTGACTTGGGTTTGGGGTTTGGGGTTTGGGGTTTGGGGTTTGGGGTTTGGGGTTTGGGGTTTGGGGTTTAGGGTTTAGGGTTTAGGGTTTAGGGTTTAGGGTTGAGGGTTGAGGGTTTAGGGTTAGGGTTAGTTTAAGGATACCATCATGTCCACCTTTCTTTGCGGGCTTTCGGGTCTTAGGGGTTCTGGGGCTTTAGGGTTCAGGGCTTTGAGAAATTTAAGGTTACGGTCAGCACCCTCGACCCTAAACCCGAAACGTGCGGGCCTATAGGGCTTGGACTCCTAGAGCCCGGAACTTGAGGTGTTTTGGTTGTCCCCAAACCGGGGTCCGCAAGCGGACGGTTCGCCAGGACCCACCCCCCCCCCACCCCCCACCCCCCCACCCCCCCCCACCCCCACCCCCCCCCCCCCCCCACCCCCCCCCACCCCACCTCCCTCCCCCCCCACCCCACCTCCCCCCCCACCCCACCTCCCCCCCCCCACCCCACCGTCCCCCCCCACCCCCCCACGCCCCCCCCCCCCACCCCCCCCCCCCCCCACCCCCCCCCCACCCCACCTCCCCCCACCCCACCTCCCCCCCCACCCTGCCGAAGAGTCGCCTTAAAACCCTCAACCCCAAAGCGTGAACCTTGAGCCCTAAACTAACCCGCAACCCCAAACCCCAAACCATAAACCATAAACGCGGAACCCTCAACCCTCAACCCTCAACCCAACCCTTATTGCTTGGGGTCCAGCGACTTGGGCGCTGCGGAATCACCATGCTCACGCGGATGCGCTGGGCCGGGCCGAGGCGGGTCGCGTAGCGTTAAAATTATGGTCTTCAACTCTCGAACCCACCAATTTGGAGGAAACCTCCAGACGTTGAACGAGGCTATCGCTTGCTTAAGAATCCCCCCTCCAAAAAAAAAGACAATCATCCCTAAATTGCCCTTACAAGGAAGATTTTGATTTGTGTGTTGTTTGATTTTTTTGGGAGGGGGGGAGGGGGGGTGTTCTGTTGGGCCCAAGGCTTACGGAAAGGAATCTGCACTTCAGGGGCGACCATTCGAGTAAATGCGTGCTGGCGTTTGCGGGCGCAGACTTGCGGTCTTTTGTAGGGTTCTGGAGTTTACAGGGATTAGAGTTGGGCCTTGTTCATAAAGCACACCAGCGCAGGAACGCCGACCTGGCAGAAGCGAGACAGGCAATTCGGCCGAGCCCCGCCACATCCTGAAATCTCGCTGAACAAGACAAGTAAAACTCCCCGAAGCCACGAAACCATGCAACTGGCAAGAACAAATTGAACTCAGCCCATGAGAACGGATCAGCCATAAAGCAAAGATGGTGGAATCAACCGACATACCGACTATGTTCCAGGCAAAGACTCGCAGTAAGTGAAAATGAAGCCAAATTGCTGGGCAGCTTGTCAAACTGTTCAGAAACATGAACAGTAAGTTGGCAGAAGTTTCGAGGGGATGTACAGTAACATAGGTTTCCCGACTGCGGTAGCTTTAAGCTTCTCAGCAGCCATCCCAGACAATGGAAGACCCGCACGTCTAGAGGAACCAAAGAAGTCACCCATGCCTACACCCACAAGCTCCCTCAATTTACTAGGGTTCAGGGTTTAGGGCTTAGTGCTTAGGGTTTAGGGTTTAGGGTTTAGGGTGTAGGGTACAAGTTCGCGCAAGTGGAAGCGTGGAAAACAAGAGCATTGGGGCTGCGGTTCGTGGTATCAAGGTCAAGGGGACCAAAGTGCCGACCCACAAGGTCAATGGGACCGCAGTGCTGAGTCACAGTGGCAATGCTATGGATGGTCTGCAAATGAACGGATCAGTCCTGAAAAATGGGAAGTAGGTGGAACAGAACCCCTAAACCCTAAACCCTAAACCCTAAACCCTAAACCCTAAACCCTAAACCCTAAACCCTAAACCTTTAGGGCTTAGAATAGGGAAGTTGAGCCTGCTTGGAGAGGAGGATGTGCTCACGAGTTTGGGCCATGGGGCCATCCGGCGAGCTGATCACCTCAACCCAGCTTGGGAAGGAGTAGGGTTTAGGGTTTAGGGTTTAGGGTTTAGGGTTTAGGGTTTAGGGTTCAGGGTTCAGGGTTCAGGGTTCAGGGTTCAGAGTTTAGGGTTTAGGGTTTAGGGTGCAGGGCTTTCGGGCTTTTGGATTCTTCTATTTGCTTAAGAGTTTTTTTAAGAAACAAGAACAACAATTCCCCATATTGCCCTCAAGGAAGAGTGTATTCTTTTTTTTTTTTGGGGGGGGGGGGGGGAGCTTGCGAGCGAGGAGACGGGGGGGGGGGCTTCCAGAAGCACAGCTGCGTCACTGAAGCGCTGCGCTGAAGCATCGTGTTTGGGGTCTGGGGCGGCCCAACTAGAGGTTAAACCCGAAACCCTGAACCCTGAACCCTAAACCCTATACCCTAAACCCTAACCCTAAACCCTAACCCTAAACCCTGAACCCTAAACCCCAAACCCTAAACCCTAAACAACCCTCGAAGGGCTTGGGGGGTGAACGTAGGGCGGCAGGACGTTTCATGCAAAGCCACGAGGATGCCACCGTCCATCTGGCAGGCTCCTTCTCTGTTCTGTTTAGGGTTTAGGGTTTAGGGTTTAGGGTTTAGGGTTTAGGGTTTAGGGTTTAGGGTTTAGGGTTTAGGGTTTAGGGTTTAGGGTTTAGGGTTTAGGGTTTAGGGTTTAGGGTTTAGGGTTTAGGGTTTAGGGTTTAGGGTTAGGTTTAGGGTTTAGGGTTTAGGGTTTAGGGTTTAGGGTTTAGGGTTTAGGGTTTAGGGTTTAGGGTTTAGGGTTTAGGGTTTAGGGTTTAGGGTTTAGGGCTTAGGGCTTAGGGCTTAGGGTTTAGGGTTTGGGTTTCAGGGTTTAGGGTTTAGGGTTTAGGGTTTCGGGATTCGGGTTCAGGGCTGCTATATTCTAGAACCCCTCAAAAGGCCCTGTACAGGGTTGATTGCTATTGTATATTTAGGATTTAGGGGCTATTATACCCTAAGAGACCCCTCAAAACGGCCCTGTGTAGGGTTGACGGGGTTTAGGTGTCTGGAGGTGCAAGGACTTCGTGTTTGGGGTTGCGGGGTTTTGTGAGCTTATAACCCTAAACCCTAAACCCTACAGCCTAAACCCTAAACCTATTATAGACGGTTTCGGGATCTACGCCTCAGGGCTCGAAGGAAGGCGTCAGAAGGTTTAGAGGCAGGCGCACTGACAACATCATACCGCGTTGTACGCCAAGCTTCAAACCAGAACAAGCTGGCTGCTGCTAGCCCTAAAACTTAAACCCTGATATAAACCTAAACCCTAAACCCTGAACCCCAAACCTCCAAACCACTATACCCTAAACCCCCCTAGACCCTAAACCCTAACTCCAGGGATCCTGTAATCATGTTCTTGACGTAGTCCGCGTGGCCGGGGCAATCCACATGGCAGTAGTGCCTTGCGGTCCGGTTTGGGGTTTCGGGTTTAGGGCTTAGGCAACCGTTGCTAGGACGGGCTTACCCTAAACTAGTACTTGCGTAAGAACCCTAACCCTAAACCCTAAACCCTAAACCCAAAAGTAATCCCTATTACTCTCAAAAGGAACATATGTTTTCATTGTTTTGGGTGGGGACTCCTTAGCCCTTTATAGGGTTGATTCTGGGGATTAGAGGGGTTTTCGGCTTTCCTAGCACGCGAAGCGCATGGCAGAAGTTTTAGAGAGTGCTTGGGCCTGATAACCAACCCTAAACCCTAAACCCTAAACCCTAAACCCTAAACCCTAAACCCTAAACCCTAAACCCTAAACCCTAAACCCTAAACCCTATATAGGGCTGCAAATAGGGCTGTAGGCTGTAGATGGTCAACGCGGCAGAGCTTCGGGCATTCATGAAGGCCTAGCCCTCAGCCCAGAAACCAAAAGGGCCCGACAGGCACGACGTTAGGGTTTAGGGCTAGGGTTTAGGGTCTAGGGTTTAGGGTTTAGGGGTAGGGTTTATGGTTTAGGGTTTACGGTTTAGGGTTTGGGGTTTAGGTTTTGGGGTTGGGGGTTTTAAGCTTTAGGGTTCAGCTTAGGGTGTAGGGTTTAGGGTTTAGGGATTAGGGTTGAACCTAACTGGGCTTCGACTCCTTTTCGGCCTGGACTCCGTCTCATACTCGATGTGCGAGGCGTTGATGGTGATACCGCGGGCGCGCTCCTCCGGCGCGTTGTCAATCTCCTGCCGGGGTCGGGAGATGCAAAGGGTCTGGGCCCTAGGGTTGAGGGCTTAGGGCCCTAAACCCTTCCGGTTTAGGGTTTACCGTGAAGACTCTAAGAGGCTTAAGTGGCTTGAGGGGACCAGACCCATCTGCAGGATGGACCCATGACCTACTAGCTGGGTTTTCTAGCAATGCGGGGCCGATTTTTGTCGCTGGATGTAACCTTCAAGTCTAAGGCCGAGTTGTGACTGAGTGATCACCCCCCCCCCCCCCCCCCCCAAAAAAAAAAAGCACCTACACCAAGGTCAATGCATGTCCTCTGCCTCTGAACCCAGGAATAAAAGGGTGCCCTTCTTGGCTTACAGGGGCTTCGAAGGGAACCTATACCCTGAACAAAGGGAATAAGGGCCTACTCTGTGTCCTAGTAGCTTAGGGTCCTTGGCAGCCCGGCAACCAAATTACAACAAGGGTGTGTACTTTTGGTTTGACAAGCTGGGTCTGTTTGGCCTCCGCGAAAACGCGTGAGAAAAGTAGGGATGTCAAGGCTGTTTAGGGTTTAGGGGTTAGGGGTTGGGGGTTATTGGGCAGCTCCAGAGCGCCCCCCAACGCGATAGGCTGTTCCGGTCTTCATGGGTGGAACGCACTTGCGTCAGCCCGACTCGCAATTCTCGCACCCCATATTCGCTCAAGGCTTACCGGAATCTGAACCCGTTGTTTGCATTTCACATTGATCGTACCACCTCAAACACACATTCGGATGTGTGCTGTTTTTTTTTTTTTTTTGCAAAAAATCTTTTTCTGGCTAAACTGACGTTAATCGAAGTTCCTTCATACTCTGATTTACATTATTTTGATAGCTAAGTGTATCCAATATTTCAACCCATGGTTATTGTTTGATGCCAACTAAGCCAGTTTGAAAATTTGGAAACAGCATCTATTTTTCATTGTCTTACGTTAGCTAGTCTAAAAACATCTCTGTCAATCCACGCAGTTGTTAAGATGAAGTGATAACGCATCTTCTTTCATTGTTAAAAAAGTCAAGTCAACAGCAGGAATTTTGCAAGTAAACCGAAGCCTCTTTAGGGTGGCTTAGGTTTAGGGTTTAGGGTTTAGGGTCGAGGGGACCCCTGCCTCGTAGGACTTCCTGGTGGTGTCGTCGGAGGTGCTGAACCTGGCAGGGTTTCGGGTTCAGGGTTTAGGGTTTAGGGTGTAGGGTTTAGTGTTGGGGGTGTTGGGTGCTTCGGGTGTGTAGGAAGGGTAGAGAGGGTTGAGGGGCTCAGGGTCTGAGCTCTTGCGGAGCAGCTGCCGTTTAAGCTTTGGACTTCCTCTCAGCTCAGGGTTTCAAACCCTTAGGGTTTAGGGTATATGGCTATATGGTTTAGGGAATATCATGAAGAGGTTTAACACCCTTCAAAACCACCACCACCACCACCACCACCACCACCACCACCACCACCACCACCACCACCACCACCACCACCACCACCACCACCACCACCACCACCACCACCACCACCACCGCCCCCTCACCCCAGCCAGGCGCCCGACTGGCTGCACACGAGGGAGATGGCGGCCGAGAGCGTGGTCTTCCCGTGGTCGACGTGGCCGATGGTGCCGATGTTGATGTGGTCCTGGAGCCCCTTAAGTTTAGGGTTTAGGGTTTAGGGTTTAGGGTTTAGGGTTTAGGGTTTAGGGTTTAGGGTTTAGGGTTTAGGGTTTAGGGCGCTGAGTTTCTTGGGGGAACGAAGGTGAAAACCCTGCTTGAAGCCCTCAGCGGTAAGCCCGAACACTCAACCCTAAACCCCCTAACCCGAAACCATATAGACCCCACTGTGCCCTGAGCCCTACCAAGGGCTTTGCCACAAGTGACCTAGCCACAAACCCTCAACAAAACCCTAAACCTGGAGAATATAAGCCCAAGCCTGGCCCACACAAAAGTCCCTAAACCCTAAACCCGAAACCCTAAACCCTAAACCGTAAACCCGAAACCCTAAACCCTAAACCCTAAACCCTACACTGGCCTTAGCTTGGCGCACCACCGCCTGTGCCCGGGACTTCTTGGATGGGCGGCCTGGCGGCCCGCAGGCTCCGGGACTGAGGGCGAGCAGCTCTTAAAGGGTTAAGGGTTAGGGTTCACTCAAGCCCTGAGACTCTGAGACCCCCGACCATCCACCCAAAAGCCACGAGAACCACGTGAACCTACAAAGCACGCCCACACACCAAATGAGAGCACACTTTAACAGGTTTAGGGTTTAGGGTTAGGGATTAGGGGGTTTGGAGGGTTTGGAGGGTTTAGAGGGTTTAGAGGGTTTAGAGGGTTTAGAGGGTTTACGGTTTAGGGTTTAGGGTTTGCAAATGAAGAATCAGTTTTAGGGTCTACGGTTTATAAGCGTCGGTTTTGGAGTTTAGGGACTCTAAGCAAGTGCTGATGTGCACTCCGATTAACTGAAATAGGCCCCTAAACCCTAAAACCCTAAAACCCTAAACCCTAAACCCTCAACTTCCCTAAACCCTATGAACCCTGCATGGCCCTACATGCGGAGCTGCGCCGAAAACCTGGGGCGCGGCCCAGTAGCCTAAGGATGCCAACGGTGCCCTTCTCATTTTCTTTTGGGGCTTACTTCATAAAGAGGATCCTAGAACCTTAAGAAAGGGAGAACCCTCAACCCTATTCTCATTTTCTTGGGGCTTGCTTAAGAAAAAGGATCCTAGAACCTGTAAGAAAGGGAGAACATGGGAGAACCCTCAACCGTAAACCCCAAACCGCTCAACCCTAAACCCTAAACCCTAAACCCTAACCCTAAACCGCTCAACCCTACACCCAGGGGTACTGGCAACAAAATGGCCGGGTCCCGGGCTGCTCGCTCCGTAGAAACCGGCAGCCTCTGTGACTTGTTGGGGCATTTGGGCTTAAAAGGGTTGTGGGTTCAGGGTGGGGTTCAGGGTCTAGGGTTTAGGGTTCAGGGTGTAGGGTTTCGGGTGCAGGGCCTAGAATAGAGGGGCTTTGGGGCCGACAGCTTGGGGTTTGGTAGAGGGGCCTATAGGCGATATGAGAAGGCTGCCTGCATACACAACAAACAACTTGAACCCTAAACCCTAAAGCCTAACCCGAAACCCTAAACCCTAACCCTACATCCTAAACGTTCTGAGAATACACATCTGCCCTGAGATACGCAAACGGAAACGCGCATACGCCGCCACTCCAGCCTCACAACTCCCACTGCGCTGAGCTCTTCCGAAAGCCCCGAAGATAAACAGCCTTCCAAGGATCCAGAATACTTACTCAGCCTAGACCCTAACCCTAAACCCTAAACCCTAAACCCCTGGCCCTAAACCCTAAACCCGAAACCCTAAACCCTAAACCCCTAGCCCTAAACCCTAAACCCCCAATCCCCCCTCCACAAAAAAAGCAGACACTCCGGGGAGCCGCACCCCCGCAGTGGCCAGTGCCATGGCGCCCAAAGGAAGCTCCGAAGACCGCGACTGCCCGGGGCTCCAAGGGGGTTTAGGGTTTAGGGTTTAGGGTTTGGGGTTTAGGGTTTAGGGTTTGGGGTTTAGGGTTTAGGGTTTGGGGTTTGGGGTTTGGGGTTTAGGGTTTAGGGTTTAGGGTTTGGGGTTTAGGGTTTAGGGTTTAGGGTTTAGGGTTTAGGGTTTTGGGTTTCAGGTTTAGGGTTTAGGGTTTGTTTAGGGTTTGGGGTTTAGGGTTTGGGGTTTAGGGTTTAGGGTTTGGGGTTTAGGGTTTAGGGTTTAGGGTTTGGGGTTTAGGGTTTAGGGTTTGGGGTTTAGGGTTTAGGGTTTGGGGTTTCGGGGCTTAGGGGTTTGGGTTTAGGGGTCTAGGGGTTTCCGGGTTTAGGGCTTAGGGTTTAGGGTTTAGGGTTTGGGGAATAGGTTTTTTTTGTTTAGGGTTTAAGGGTTTGAGGTTCGAGGTGTCGGGTTTTGGGTTGGGATTTCGAGTTTGCAGTGTGCGGTTTCGGGCTCAGGGTTTGGGCCTTCCTCGAAGGACTCTGAAGGCAGTGGTACTCCCTACCCCAAACCCTAAACCCTAAACCCCAAACCCTTAACAGCTCGGTGTTGAGATGCCGGAAAAGCATCCATGATTCTCCTAAACCCTAAACCCTAAACCCTAAACCCTAAACCCTAAACCCTAAACCCTAAACCCTAAACCCTAAACCCTAAACCCTAAACCCTAAACCCTAAACCCTAAACCCTAAACCCTGCCTACCTGGAGGTCCACTTGAAACCCTAGAACCCCGAGCCTTGGACCGGCTACACCCTGTAGCTGCGGCCTGACTTCCGCGTCCCCTGAGGAGAGCAAGCTGGAGCATACTGGTTAGCAGGTCAGGTTTAGGGTTTAGGGTTTAGGGTTTAGGGTTTAGGGTTTAGGGTTTAGGGTTTAGGGTTTAGGGTTTAGGGTTTAGGGTTTAGGGTTTAGGGTTTAGGGTTTAGGGTTTAGGGTTCCTAACCCCTGAACCCTAAACGGCGCCCCCCAATCCGTTGAACCCAAGACCCCCAGCCTCCGCAGCAGTTCGCCCGCGGAGGGAAGGCTGTGAAGCAGGTTCCTCTACAAAACTACAGTTAAGGGACTGATAAAGGAAGCTCAGATGTCGATTGAGACTGCTGTAGCTCTCATACAGGGTGGGGCCCCCTAGTCATAAGTAGAGTTATAAGAGCCCTTAATTGATCCTAAACTAGGTTATAAGTCCCTTAACTACAGTTAGTATAGTAAGGGGGCCCCTCCTATACGGCAGGTTGGAGAAGATTCTGTTTTCCTATACTCCCCTTAGAACCTTAATAAACATATTCTTTTTAGATAATGTTCTTGGGTTTTATGTAAACAAAAAACTCTCCAGGGGGATATAGTTTCTAGGTCGGCTTGCATGTTCAAGGATCCGCCACTACAGCCCCTTACACCCTAAGCCTCCCGAAAACCCCCGAACTCCTATGGCAAACCTCGGTGCGGAATGTCCCAAGGGTTTTCTAGGGTTTAGGGTTTAGGGTTTAGGGTTTAGGGTTTAGGGTTTAGGGTCCAGGGTCTAGGGTTAGGGCTGAGGGCTGCCCGGACCCGAATGCTCAGAGATAAGATCCTCTCAACCCACCAGGAGAAAGCATGAAACATTCCCGGTGGCCTGCACCGCGGTCGGCGCCACGAAGGTCTGCGAACCACCTGGGTGGGACTAGGCCGGTGTGTATAAGTTTCAGGGTTTTGACCTTTGGGAGTTAGGATGGATAGACTTAGGGTGTGGCAGTGGGGGTTTAAGGCAACCCTCAACCCTAAACCCTAAACCCTAAACCCTCAAATTTAAGGTAGTTCCGACAAGCCCGGAGGCAAAAGCCGTGTGCATCACCCCGCCTGCGAGCTGCGAGGCGGCGTAGGCGGCAGCACCGCCCATGACCAAAACTGAAGCTCCTGATGCGCCTTGGGCCGGGGATTTTCGGGTTTAGGGTTTAGGGTTTACATCTTTGTTGTTTAGGGCTTTAGGGTTTAGGGTTTTTGAGAAGTGCAGGTTGAGGTTTAGGGCTTAGAGGCTTGCAGGTATGCTTAGTGGCTGTAAGGGTTGCATTGAGACACGCAGGCAAGGGTTTTGCATTGCCCCCTCCCCTGCCCCCCCTGCCCCTCAGCATGACATCTGACTCATTGCTTAACAGTTCAACGCAGGCTTTTAGGGTTGAGGGTTTAGGGTTAAGGTCTAGGGTCTAGGGTCTAGGGTTTAGGGTTTAGGGTTTAGGGTTTAGGGTTTAGGGTTTAGGGTTTAGGGTTTAGGGTTTAGGGTTTAGGGTTCTTCATCCGCGCTGGCCAGAGACAGCTCCAGAAGCTTCGCCTTCGGTCTTTCGAGGAAGCTCAGATGTCGATTGAGACTGCTGTAGCTCTCATACAGGGGGGGGGGGGCCCCCTAGTTATAAGTAGAGTTATTAGAGCCCTTAATTGGGTTATAAGGATTTACAAGAGCCCTTAATTGGGTTTTTTAAGGATCCTCAACTAGGTTATAAGTCCCTTACCTACAGTTAGTATATCAAGGGGGGCCCCCCCTTGTAGGCTCAGACCAAGCCGTGCTTGCTACAGAAGGCCTTGCTTTGAGAGAAGCGGAGAGGCCATCAGAAACCGGGAAACCTCAAGCTTCAAAGGCTGCCTCTAGGGCTTATGACGTAAGACCCCCTGAAGCTTCAGCCTTTAGGTCCTGGATTTCTGGAAGCTGCCAGAGATCTCAAACCAGCGGCTTCCTTAGTTAAAATCCTTGCCCGTCGGGGCTGGAAAGCAGCTCCGGAAAGACGGAACCCTAAGACCCTAAACCCTAAACCCTGAACCCTAAGATGCCAATATGCGAGGGTCGCGGTCGCAGAGCCGGCCAAGGAGCCGCAGAGAGCAGCCCCGAACCACACTGCCCCTCTTGACAAGAGACCTTCCCCCAGGCACCCAGACCCCAGAACACTAAAAACTTACCACCCCTTCCCTGCATGGGGCCCCCTAGTTATAAGTAGAGTTATACGAGCCCTTGATTGGGTTAGAAGGATCTTATTAAACTAGGTTAGAAGTCCCTTAGCTACAGTTAGTATAGTAAGGGGGCCCCTCCTTGTGCATGCCACCCTGGAAGCCTCGGGAGGCAAAACAGCTTGTCAATTTTTTTTTGGGGGGGGACTAAAGCGATGTTAACGTTGTACACTTTGGATTTTGGAGAGTGTATATTGGGTCCTACGGGGCTACTAGCAGAACCCTGCCTCAATACCCAGACTCCCAAACCCAAAGCCCGGAACCCTGAACGCCCCATACAAATCCTGCGGGCCCCCCCTAAGGCACGCGCGGCTCATCCTGCTAGCGAGCCTCGGAAAGAAATTTTTGGTTGGGTGATTTGGGTTGATGTTTTGGGGGGGGGGGGGATTCTAAGAGTCCTAGTCCTAAACCCTAAGCCCTAAACCCTGAATCAGGGAATAGACATTGGATCCCAAATCCAAAACCCTTAACCCTAGGATTAGACATTGGAGATTGCTTTTTAGGGGTCTTTGCCGGTTGCAGCTTCGAGGGGTTTGAGGAGAGAGGTTCGGGCCCTTCCGTGATCCAGCTCAGGCTAAGGGGTTTAGGGTTTTGGGGGGGGTTTAGGGTTTAGGGTATTAAGGTTTAGGGTTTAGGGTTCTTGTTCTAGGGGTCGGATTTAGGGTTGGTTTGGGCTTTAGGGCTTTAGGGCTTTAGGGCTTTAGGGCTTTAGGGCTTTAGGGCTTTAGGGCTTTAGGGCTTTAGGGCTTTAGGGCTTTAGGGCTTTAGGTCTTTAGGGCTTTAGGGCTTTTGGGCTTTAGGGTGTAGGAGGGTGTAGGAGGGTGTAGGTTGGGATGTTCCCCCGTAGTAGGGATTCTAGTAGGGGGTACTAGGATCCCTACTATAAGGTTACCAAGTACCGTTAGTAGAAGGGGAACATCCCAAGGTGTAATAGGGTCTAGGGAAACACTCGCCACGCACCCCTAAACCTCGGGTTTTTGGGGTCTAGGGCGCCCCTTAAAACCCTAAACCCTAAACCCTAAACCCTAAACCCTAAACCCTAAACCCTAAACCCTATACCCTACAGGTGCGGCTGCACACTTTTCCGTGGGTTTTGAAGGTCGGGCTTCAGAGGTTGGAACTCCTGCAACTGGGTGTGCCGGCGACTGCTGCGAATGCGAGAGAGCTACGGGGCGGGAATCTCCTAATGCCTGGAGCCGATAAAGCCAGAGCGGGGTACACCAAAAACTCTGAACCCCTGCAGCCCTCGCACGCCCTGTTCGCACCCTGAACCCTCACGTCTTACTGCCATTTGCTTCTGAATGAATAATAAGAACAACAACAATAATAATGATAATAATAATCATCATCATCATCATCATAATCATAATCATCATAATTATAATCATGCCTACATTGCCCTAATAAGGGGATTCAAGGTTTGCAAGCTCTAGGCCCCAACCATCACCTGTCACTCCACGCGCTTTCCGCGCACACGTGTTGTGGAAGGCCTCTATAAGTTTGGGGGGTGTTTGCTGCGAGCATCCACCAAGAATACCGTATCTGCACCCACCGCGATCCCTGAGAAGCCCTATACAAACTCGCCAAAACTTACGATAAAGCCCTACTCCATGCAGACACCTGATACTGGCATGCAGTTTTCAATTCCAATGCCTACCAGAACCAGAAAACCAGGAACCCTAAAACTCCTAAACTCCTGAACGCTGAACCCCTAGACTCCTAAACCCTGACCCCGAAACCTGGACCCTAACCCTAAACCCTAAACCCTAAACCCTAAACCCTAAACCCTAAACCCTAAACCCTAAACCCTAAACCCTAAACCCTAAGCCTAAACCCCAAACCCTAAACCCTAAACCCTAAACCCTGAACCCTGAACCCTGAACCCTAAACCCTAAACCCCAATCCCTACACCGGCAACTCGAAGCTGCACTGCAAGGGCCAAGGGAGGAAGCACCGGTCTCGGCGGCAATCGCCCGAGCAAGCATCGATTTCCCACCTTAGCCACCCGTCTGGCCAAGGTAGGGTTTAGGGCTTAGGGTTTAGGGTTTAGGGCTTAAGGTTTAGGGTTTAGGGTTTAGGGTTTAGGCCTTAGGGTTTAGAGTTTAGGGTTTAGGGTTTAGGGTTTAGGGTTAGGGGTGGCCCGCAATCCTAGGCACTATTATATAGGGGTTTCGATATTCGGGGTACCTTATAAAAACAAATATTGGGGTCCTTGTTTTTAAGGGGAACTATTTGGGATCTACATTGGGGGTCCCCCCTGTTTCCGAAAAAACCCACATACGTAACATCTACACAAGCATCAAAACCTTAAGCCCTAAACCCCGCACCCTCGACCTTAAACCCTACAAGGAGGGGCCCCCTTACTATACTAACTGTAGTTAAGGGACGTATAACCTAGTTTAGGATCCTTATAACCCAATTAAGGGCTCTTATAACTCTACTTGTAACTAGGGGGCCCCACCCTGTACCATGAAAAAAGAAGGATGCGGGACGTATCCCGGTGAGGCTCCGGCTCCCCTTGGGCCCATAGAGCAACAAAGACCTGTGGCGGGATTTGGGGCTTCGAACTTCTGGGTTTAGGGTCTGGGGTTTGGGGTTTAGGGTTTAGGGTGTGGGGTTTCGGGTTTAGGCTTTGAGCTCAAGGGCACTAACTGGGCTACCAGGGCGTTGTTGTGGCCCATAGTAGCACTTCAGAGTTTCGCCAAGGCCTTTCGTAGGGTTTATAGGCTTTAAGGGGCTTACAGCCTCTAGGAGAACCCTAAACCCTAAACCCTATTTTTTGGAGCTTCTTAAATGATAGAAGCCAAAGAAGGGCACCACGACGTGGACTAAGACCTCAGACTTGGCTACTCAACACAACAATCGAGGGATCGGAATAACTTAGTAGTGGTGCTCCCGTCTGGTACATATATAGCAATACCACAACTACATACCCCCACCTCACCCCAACCCCTCCCCCCCCCCACCCCCAGAACAAAAAACAACACTATTCAAATTATTAAGGCCCCCCCGTATATTCGTTGACAAAATTGAGAGCTAAGCTGCCTGAGTTTCTGCGCAGCTTGGGGTTTTGTTGAGGCTTATAAGGATAAGGGTTTAGGGTTGTTCAGGGATTGGAGGCTTTATGGGGCTTGTGGGCTTTGGGGGGCTTAGGGTTTGGGGGTTGGGGGCGGGCGGATTCGACTGAAATTGGGGGCCTCAAAGCCCTTATAAATCGGGGACCCATTCGATACCCCTGAAATGCCCAATACAACCCAAGGGCCCATACTTTCAGAACCCTTTAAAGAAGGTACGTGACCGTGTAGCTACCCGTAGAAAAAAAGGCCAAAAAGGTTGAAGCTCACGGCAACATGGTGCTCAGAGCTTTGGCATCCAGTAGGGCTGTTTAGCTGATTAGCGTATGTATATATATATATATATATAGATATATGTATATGTGTGTATATATATATATATAGTTCAGGATTGTAAGGTTCAAGGCCTAACAAAGGCTTTTCACGCTGGGGGGGGGGGGGGGGT